CTAATTAGTATACATTGACGTGAATAACGAACTGCATTCTTGAATGTAAAAGTCTCATTAATATTAATTAAATGAATGTTAATGTTAATGTTAATTAATTGAGAATTAAACGTGAATATGAATGTGAAATTTTAATTAAAATTAATTAAATGAATTTAAATAATAATGAATTGAAAATTAATATCAGGAAATACATGCACAAACAATAATTTTATAGTATTTATTGCAGTTTGTAAATTAAATACATATTGAAAAATGAAAAGTAAGGTATTATTAAAATAATTAAATTGTTTTGGGGATTATAATCGTCTAAAAAATGATTTTCACTTAATGTGATATTTAATATATAGGGTATTTTCACGAATATCCACAATTAAGGGTGTGAGTTGAAAAGTGTCCAATTTTCAAATTTAATACTAAATTGTCTGTTATACCCTTAATGAAAAATAAGGACATTTGAATCTCTACGCATTCTCGACATTTAAAATGTCATTCTCGACATTTGAGTCTCGTTTTATATTTTAATAGTATACACGTCAAATCACAATATTAAATGTTCTCGACATTTCAAAACGTCATTCTCGACATATTAAATGTCTAGAAGGACATTTCATTCCAAACATGACATTTCTCTCGACATTTCCGTGTCAATGCAAAAAATAACATTAATTGTGATTTGACATCTTGTCATTTGCAATAAATGGAGCAAGTTATGTGTCAAGATTTCATCAGCCAATATTTTTTTTTTTTGCAAAAATGTCCATTTTATTATCCTTGAATGAAATTATAAATTGTTGACCATGGGTATTTTGGTCTAAAATATACCAAAATGGCCATTTTTGCAAGGATTTTTGAAAGTTGCCATTTTTGCAAGTGGCTAGAGGAAAGTGGACATTTTTTACAATTTCCACTTAATATATTATAGATAGTAAGAAAAATTTCAACATGAATCCCCATTTTATTGCTAAAGTATTAAGTTGGCACATACCTTTCAAAAATAAAAGAAGCAATTCAATTCCTAACATTTTATTATAGTCTGCAAAACGATGAAAATGGTCTAAAAATTCTCACGTGCTATGCACAGTTATCGTTGGTCACTCAACTATAAAAAATGGCATCTTTTAAATGCCAAGCCTAAGTGCATTAACTCACTTTGCCAAATTCAATTGGTTGTAATAAAACCAAATAGATAAATTCTCAAAACTATCTTTCATTTAAACAACTCTAAGTCTAATCCTAACACATGGTAATAGCCTTAACAAAATTGAAATCCTAGTAGTGTGGGAAGAAGTCTTGTCTATATTTTATCCAAAAAATCCCGACCACATATATAGGGGATGGGTAATTAACACGTAACATCCTTACTTTTCATTTTTTGACATTTGACTCTTATTTTCACCTTTCATTGAGCAAAATTTCATTTTCATCCATTTTCTCAATTAAAACTTGTAGGATGATGAATGTATCATTCTATTTAAATAATAATAATAAAAAGAATTAATTGTAATTATAGTCCCAATTTTTAAAAAAAGTACAAACAAGTCCCAAATAAATTATTAAAAGGGTAATTAGCACATAATGTTTCTACATTTCACTATTATTATGGAAAGCGTCCATATCTTTCATTTTTGGTATTTTAACCAGTAATTACACATTTAATTGCGCAAATCATCATTTTTATCCAATTTCATCTAATTCCTCAATAAAAGTTATGAAATGATTATTATACACTCATATTTAAATAAAAAATAGAAAATTAAAGAAAATTGGTTTTTTAATTTGTAATAATTTATTTGGGACTCGTTTGCACTTTTTTTTAAAAAAAAATAAATTAAATTTCTAATTTATTTGGGACTCATTTACATTTAAAAAAAAATTGAGATTATTATTGCAATTAGTTCTTTATTTTTATTTATTTTTTATATATATTTAAATAGGAAAGTATATTTATCATTTAACAACTTTTTATTTTGAAATTGGATGAAAATAGATAGAAATGACTATTTGCGCAATCAAATGTATAATTAAGGGTAAAAATGCCAAAAAAAAGAAAGATATGAACGTTTTTCACAAAAATAATGAAATGTTGGAACATTATGTGCTAATTATTTTGTTACTAATTTATTTAAGACTCGTTTGCACTTTTTTTTAAAAAAAATTGGAACTATGATTGCAATTACTTTTTTTAAAAATTTAAATAGAATGGTATATTCGTTAATTCACATTTTCTAATTAAGAAAATGGCTAAAAAGACTTTTTTGCATAATAAAATGTGAAAATAATGGTGAAAATATAAAAAGAAAAGAAAAAGTAATAATGTTTTCCACAATAACAGTGAAAAGTAAGGATGTTACCATCTTAAAACTTAATAGACGTTACGTCGGATTTTATGTTAATTTTTTTAACCGATTGACTATTGAAGAAGAAGTTATAAACTATAGCGTTAAATGGGTCAGAAAAAGTCTTCAATGACCAAATTGAAAATTTGCACAAACTTAAGTTACAATTGGTAAAATTAACTCAAAATTTTGCAAAAAACTTTTAAGTTGCAGTTGGTAAAATTAACTCCATGTATTAGCAGTGAAGAGGGAAAATAGGATAACATGGCGCGCTAAACATTCCAATACGTCGTCGGATAAATCCTTCGTCTGATCAAACGCAGTCGTATCGCCATTTCCAGTAATTAACGGCTTTCTTTACGTGACTTTCCCAATGGCGTGTACCTACCTCTTTATAAGCAGCAGACAGAGAAAAAGCAAACGAGTCTTTAAAGCCTCTGACACGCTCACCGCAATGCAGCCTGAGATACCGGCGGTGCCACCATCCATACCACCCATAGACACTCGAACTTAAATTCCTATAGAGACTCATTTAGCGTGCGTGTATATATATTTTGTTATAGAATGTCGGCTTCTAACTCCAAGCAGCAGAGCCAGGCTCAAGCACGGGACCTGAAGCACCGTGTGCTTACGTGCCTCCACAAGCTTTCCGACCGGGATACGCATGCCGCCGCGGCGTCGGAGTTGGAATCTATTGCGAGATCTCTCTCCACCGACTCACTTCCGCCGTTTCTCTCCTCCATCTCCGCCACCGACTCGTCGGATAAGTCTCCTGTCCGCCGCCAGTGTCTCCGCCTCATTTCCGTGTTATCCGAGCACTACGGAAACTCTCTCTCCCCATACCTGTCCAAACTCCTCTCCGCTATCGTCCGCCGACTCAGGGATCCGGATTCTTCCGTCCGCTCTGCCTGCGTATCTGCTTCACTCTCCCTCTCTTCACATCTCACAGCACCATCTTTTGCTTCCATTACAAAGCCATTCCTTGAATCTTTATTCAGAGAACAGGACTCTAATACTCAGAATGGCGCTGCTCTCTGTTTGGTATCAATAATCGAAGGATCACAAAATCCGGATTCCGGTTGCTTGAGACGCCTATTGCCGAGGTTCGAGAAGTTGGCGAAATGCGAGAGTTTCAAGGCAAAAACCGCATTGTTGACGCTGATGGGGAGCGTGGTGGAACTGAATGGTGTGTTGGGTGGTGGTGGAAAGAACCTGATTAAGAATTTAGTGATGTTTTTGGTGGAGTTCTTGAGTAGTGAGGATTGGGCGGCGAGGAAGGCAGCTGCAGAGACGTTGATGAAGATCGCGGGGGTGGAGAAATATGCTTTATCTGAATATAAAAGTTCTTGTTTGAAGACCTTCGAGGCAAAGAGATTTGACAAGGTCTGATGTTGAATTGGATCTAGTTAAAATCTGTTTGACATCTTACTACTAATAATCTGAGTTTCAAATGTAGAATTATCTGTATATAGAATTATTGATGTAATTTGTGTTGATTTGTTTAGGTAAAGGCAGTGAGGGAGACAATGAATCAGATGATAGATGCTTGGAAGGAGATTCCTGATCTATCAGATGAAGTCTCACAGTATACTGAATCCCAGGTGTCATCTAAAGGTACAACCTTTAATTATGTTCTTTCATGCGTATTTGATCTGATTATTCTCTTGCTAATTTGATTTTTTCAGATTTGACAGATCAAATTCATCATCTGACTTCGCAGCAAATTTTTTAGAACGCACAATTTGAATTTAAGCTATTCAATTTTTTCTATCTGATTATTTACTTAATTTCAATAAATAGTGGTTCAAATTATAATTCTTCTATACAAGTAAACTGTTTTTAATTCCAATTTCTAGTCTTGATATGATTTGTTCATCTTTCTTTCTTTAATGTACTCTTTTTAATTGACAAGTGGGGATTTCAATTCTTGATTTCTTCATTTATTCAAATTGCTTACTCTTTCCTTCTTTTGGTTTGATTATGATATATTGATTCAAATTGCTTGTTCTTTCCTTCTTTTGGTTTGATTCTGATGTATTTTATTCTGTATGCGTCTTCAGCTGGTAATTCAGTTATTCATTTTCATTTGGAGTTTCATTCAAATACTCTTTGCACTTCTTTTTAACTACTGTTGGCTCATTTTTCTTCTGCTATTTATTTTAAGACACGAGCAACATTTTTCCCACTGATCCTTTTATATTTGTTCTCAAGATTTTCAATGGCTAATTTTTCGCTTTGGCTACAGAAAGTCCTAGTGATGGACGTTATCCACCTGGCATCAAAACTTCTTGCACAGTTAGCTCAACTGCTCCTGTAGTAAGGAAAAGAGTCCCTTTTGATAACTCAGTTGGCAGAACACCATCAGTTGATGGCCCTTCTGCTACTACAGCCAGGAAAAGAAGTCCTCTTGGTGGTAATAACAGGAAAACTGGTCCTGCTATGTTTAGGAAGTTGGACCCCAAGAAGCCTTATGATGGGAAAGTTCAAATTGCTGGTGATTCTTCTGGTATAGCAGTTTCGGAGGATAATCCTTTGACTAGAGGTGAGAGAGTGTTGAAAACCGTCGAGGAGGAAAGAAATAAATTTACCAAGCCAGAAATAAAACGTGCCCTTTTCAATGAGAACTCGGATGAAAAGAAGCAGAAACTTGGCATTTTTAAGCCTGGGTCTTGTGTGGTGCCATGTGACCATGAAAGTTTTGTCACCGTTAATGAAGCTGGAGATCCTTGTAGAAACCACAGAGAGTGCGAGGACCTCTCTTACATCCGAAAGCAGCTTGTGCAAATTGAAAACCAGCAATCCAATTTGTTAGACATTCTGCAGGTACTTAGCTTCTACACGTACTAACTTTTTCCATTTGTTTTTAATGTGCTGACTTGCAATGATATTGTTGTTATTAGGACAATATTCTTAAGATATTTGTATATCCTTTACTTTCCAGTCTTATCTAGTGTAGTATCTGTTTAGCAAGGTAAAGAACAAATATAAGGAGAAAACGTAAAGTAAAAGTAAATCAAAGGAAGTTAAATTTTCAAACTTGTTTGATTGGTCAAGGAAAATAATGAAAAAAACATTTTCCCACTAAACTAACATAAATAAAAGATTGCAAATGCAGAAAGGAAATAGGCATTTTGACACTGCAACAACCTTCACCCCCACTCCCCTTGTCGTCTCTTTTGTAAGTTGTAGCCTCCAGTTTACTGAAAGCTGTATCCTCCAACTCCGTTGCACTTTCCTATGCATGGCTCATCAATGAGTTTCATCTTTTCTACTGAAAAACTAAAAGCTCGTCCCTGATGAAATCATAAATTTTGAAGTGGTAAAGAACTTGAGATCAATGCTGTCAATTTTTCCAATCCTTCTTAGTTAATAAGTTGTATTGGATAAAATAAATTACATCGAGATAATCTCTAGAAATAATGGCAACATTTTGGTGGCTAGTGCCAATCGAAGTTGAATTGCATAGATTTTAGATCACTGTAGCACTAATGCTTCAACTAGAATAGCGTGTTCGTGTCCAACACATCGTACTCTGTCATGATCATTTTTTCTTTATCAGAAATATTAAATATTTTTAATTCAAAATTATTATTAAATAACAAATAGATAATCATATTTAAAAAATTTCCACAAGAAATTAATAGCAAGTATAAAATTAAATTTATACTATATAAATGAAATTTTTTTAAAAATTTAATCAACGTGGTGTCGTGTCGGTACTTTTTTTGAAAAATTGTGTGTTGGCATGTCCGACACATGTCGTGTCAAACTCACGTGTTTGTGTCGGTGCTTCATAGTTTCAGATGGACACTTGAGCCGTGGTCTATACTAGGTAGCTTTTTTGTTTGGTGGCGGCTCTGAGGTCTACATTTGAGGAGGCATCCTTTTGCTTAACAATGGGTGGGAACTCTTGAAGACTGGGAAGGACCTCGTCAGATTTTGCCAAATTAAGGGTGTGTTTGAGCCACATTATTTTGAAAAAATATATTTTGAAATAGTATGGAGAATGTGTGGTTGAAAAAAAAGGAAAAGTTATTTATGTGATGGAAAATATTATTTTATTGAAGAATGTGTGGTTGAAAATGAGTAGAAGAATGAGAATGAACATTTTAATGTGGCACAAACAAGGGCTAAGAAAATATTTATACATCTTTCACTAATTTAATTTCCTGTTATTACACCTAATGAAGGAACACATGAAAATGATTGACGAGTGTTTTTGCATGTTTTTTCTCATAAATCCTAGATCCAAGCAAGGCATGTAGCTTCGAATTTCCAGACAATTCACGTTCTGTTTTCAATTGACAACTTGAAGTTTTTTGGTGTTATATGAACGTCTTTGACTGTATTTTTGAGTAGAATGATTGATGATTAGGAAGATGTTGAAATCTAAGCTGACTCTAGTATTCAAATTTCTTGTTTGTTCATGAATTTAACTTTTTCTGGATTTGACCAATTACCAGCGATTTGGGTATTTCTATCCTAAAATGTGTACAAGAAATATCGAGCTCTATGGTCAACTGAATTGTGGCTCTAGGATGATACCCTTATTACTCTGGAATATTTTTTAGTCAACTGAATTCTGGCCCTAGGATGATATTCTTATTACTCTGGATTTAACATTTGTTTGCTCCTCTACTTATATCTCTAATGGCAGCAGTTCCCTGCTAATTAATTGTTCACCAAATTTTCAATTTGTGAACCATTACTCACATCTTTTCTTCATTGCCAAAACTAGAAATTCATTGGGAGTTCTCACAGTGGGATGCATTCTCTGGAGACACGTGTTCATGGTCTAGAGCTGGCTTTGGATGAAATTTCATTTGATTTAGCTGTCTCAACTGGAAGGATGTCACGAAGTGATGCTGCAGGTGCCATGTGTTGCAAATTACCTGGTGCAGAATTTTTGAGCTCAAAGCTTTGGAAGAAAACAGAGGGTCGTTTTTCAACCTCTCGATTCTCTATTTCTGATGGAATCACATCAGTAGCTGGAGTACGTAACATCCCTGATAAGAATGGAGATCGTGAAGGATTTAGGCTGGAGAATAGGAGACATCGACTCCAAGGTGGTCGTGGGTTTATAGTTAACCCGTTAGCTGAAACCCCAAGACGATCCCTGCAAATCCCTGAGGTTTCCGCAACTGGAGTTGTAAGGAACATTGCTGCTTGATGTCACTATCACATATATCTGCCCTCAAATCATCAGGTACCCTCTCGTCTCTAATGAGCATCTCATTCAAAACTATGATGATGCTCATAAATTTGATTTTTATTCAGTAGAAATGGTTGAATACAAATTTTATCAGGTTCCTGTATCTCATTTTTCCTTTTCCCCTCCCAGGCTGTGGGTGTTGGACAAAGGCTTGAGTTACAATATTTAGTTTGCCTGGAATATAAAGATAATCGACTATAGCAAGACCTTCATTGTGAATGGAGTGCTCATACTTCGAGTCGAGTACAATACTTGATTAACAATACAGATATTATTAATCCAGACGCCCTTTCGGCCTCCTCCTATCATTATATTTAGATGAAGCATCTACACGATGAGTTTCTGATTCTTTTTCCGAGTAAAGATGATACCATTGGAAGCGAATGAATCCGATTGCAATTTATGATGCCTGATATAATGGTGGATAGTTTATTGGTAACTGATCTTCTATTAGACATGAAGATTGGATGTGTATATCGATGAATTTTTCTCGTCTGAGAATTTCTTTTCATTCTTTGCTGAGTTGTAATCTTGTCCTTTGAAATGATACTCAAGGATGTTGTGACTTGTTATGGTATTCACTTACATTAGCTTATGATGAGACTAGTTGTTAAAATTTTGGGGTTCCATCTTAAAAGGTCAACGTTATTAAAAGGAGTAGTTCAAATCCTTATAAATTAGTCTATGTTTTCATCTTTATTCGATGTGAGATTCTATCCCTTAACATGCCTCCGTAAGATGGTGGCTTGTTTGTGCAGACCAATCTTGAAATCTGTGTGCTCAATTTTTTTTTGTCTTAGTCGGATCGAATTGCTCGTTGGAGCTTAAAGAACTCTGATACTATGTTAAGATTTTGAGATTCCATCTTACAATGTCAACCTTAGTAAGAGGAGTAGCACAAACCCTTATAAATTGGTCTATGTTTTCATCTTTATTCGATGTGAGATTCTATCCCTTAACACTAGTCTTTTTTGTTGCTTGAAATTTAAGGATGTGTTTATAAAGAGAAGTTTGCTTTATTAAAAGGGCTATGTTCGGTACCATGCATGGTTTATGCATGATTGGAGCATGCTCCACTTTGGCGGACCATGAGTCGTGGAAAATTAAAACTTAGAATTGTAAGAGTATCTCCAGAAGAGATATTTTTAAAATTTAAGATGCTCTCTATCTCTATTTTAGAGGATTTATTTTTAAAAATAAGTTACAAGTTTTAATGTTCCCACTTGTGGAATTAATTAAACAATCATACCATATGTATATTAATATTTACATCATTTTTGACATTGTGCATGTTTTAACAGTAAATAGTTGATCGACAGTACAAACTAATTTACGTGTGAAAGCACGGTACTCAAGAATGAACAGGAAACGGCTGATCAAGCCCTTGTTTGAGCTTCATTATAATTAGATTTTGAGGGAAAAAAAAATTTATAATAGTTATTTTTTGAAAAATGTGTGATTAAAAAAGAAAAAAAAATTCAATTTACGTGTAATATTATTTTATTAAAAAATGTGATTTAAAATAAGAGAGAAAAAAGACGTTTTTAAATTAATGGAGCTAGGCGAGTGTTTTAAAAGAGTAGGGATATATATTTTTAGATGTTAATGACCAAAAAATTAAGCTTGTGTTTGGCACTCATTATATATATTTTTAAATTTTTCTCTTTTTTAATTATAATCACACATTCTTTAAATAAATTAATATTACACACAAATCTAAAACTTTTCATTACTTTTCAACCACACATTCTTCCATCAAGCACTATTCCAAAATTTATAATACACCCAAAATGGGTGCCAAACACAATGTAAATGTGACAAGGATAAAGTTATTTGTACATTCTTTTGTTGACATGGTGTTGTACACTCCATTGATTTTCAAATTGAAATGGGCAGGAATGTGTGTGTTCTTTTTTGGAAACTGTCCAATGATGTCAAGATACGTGACACGATGTCAAGATACGTGGTACAATGTAAAAAATGATGTAAAAATTGACAATAAAGCCACTTGTACATTCCCTTGTTGACAATTTGACATTGTGGTGTGCACTACATTGGTTTTCAAATTGAAATTGGCGGGAATGTATTTTTTTTTTTTAAATTGCCTAATGATCAGGATACGTGGCACGATATCAAAAATGACGTAAAGATTAACAATCGTCTCCTACCTTCTATTAAATCGGGCAGAAAGATGGAAAATGGTATGCCTTGGTTTGCTTCTTTGGTTTATGGACTTGTTTATTTGGAAGAAGAATAGAACGAAGTAGGAGGAAGTAGAGGTGTCAATCCGGGTGGTCCGGGCCGGGTCAGCCCGCCAACATATAAGCCCGGTAACGGCCCGCGTGAAGAAAAGCCCGCCCGCTACGAGTTCCGGGCCGGTTCCAGGTCGGCCCACAAATTTTGGACTACAACCTAGGCCACCTGCTGACCCATGCTGG